AAAAAAACGTATTTTGAACACTTTTGGTAGGATTATGGTTGGTAGGCAACTTTTCTTCCCTTTTAATAAATGGAGCAGTTGGCATTACGGGAAAATAGTTTGGGGGTAAATGAAACTGTTCTAATCATGGCTAAATGATTGGCGTAAAAAACGCCTATAAAAAAACTGTTCATTCAAATAAGAGTCGTTCACGGATGGGGTCTAATCAACGCCTATGTTTTTAGAAGAAAAGTACATATATTAGATCTAATATATTCATATTTTTTTAAAATATAAGAAAATTATGTAGAAATAATTTGAGTAACAATATTTTATGTTTGTTATTGTAATGTCAGGAAAGAAGCAATTTAAGTAAATTAACAGGGATAAATATATTCATTTATCTCAACGAAGATTTTTTTTTCTTTATGAAGGATCATAATTATTTTTTATTTATTTTTATCTTATCTATTTCATTTACTAGTGGTGTTTGCATCATTTATTTGTTTATATTTGCCAACAAGTGAAATTAATGACGATATCAAATGCTGTGTTGGGTAGAAATTGTGCATCATATATTACAGCATGACATATTTTAATGTTAGGGTTTTTACATATCTAGCACACCAAACATTAATATTTATCAATATCACATCACAAATCTTAATTTTACTAATTTTAGACCTTAAAAGTTCAGTTAATAAGGAACACGCAGACAGTTTAGCCTCTGTTTACCGTTCTGTGTTGAAGCGCGGGAAATCTTGCTATCTCTCGAAATTTTCTTCCCTTCATTTTTATTTTTCTACACGTAGTTTTATTATTTATTATTCCAACCCCAATAGGAAAAGTTGGGATCATGACATACTAATACCTCCAAAACTCCCGTCTCACAATTTTACTCGAAACCACTATCTACCTTACCCTTCCACCTTTTCTCGTGCCTGAAACCCTCGTACATTCTCGACTAGAGATAGTTGGCAAGGTAAAGACGGGATCACGACTTACAAACTTCTTTGAAACTCATGCATGTCTCTCTTCCATGGTTGATTTTACCAGACTACCTCTTGTTAGCAACATCTTCTCTAAATCCAGTATACCAATGTCCTGGTATTTTTTTTTCCTTACGACCACACTCTTCTGTTATTTAGGGAAAAATGGAGGTAAAACGAGTTTTAAGATCCTGTAGGATTTGAATTTGCCATTTTAACCCTATGAATTTATTTATGACAAATCCTGTTATTGTAGATTTCAAAGTCTTTATTTTTTATTTTTAAATTTTTTGTTGTTTGGCAATATTTAGTTTAAATATTTTATAAATCCTACTTAAATCTTGCTACCAAGCCATTTGACAATTTAGTTTTTGAATCCTGCTTAATCTTTGTTATCAAGCCATTTGACTATTTATCTTTAGAATCTTCAATACTTTTTTGATGTATGACAATATTTAGTTTAAATATTTTAATTTTTTTTATTTTCAATATTTACTTAAATACTTAGAGACAAAATGTGGAATGAATATATTCGTGATAGGGTTGGTGTAGCTCCTGTGACAGACAAAATTAGAGAAAGTCGTCTTAGATGGTTTGGTCATATTAAACGTCGACCATTAGATGATCCGATTAGGAGAGTAGATGTTTTAAATTCGACTTGTGTTAAGAAAGGCAGAGGTAGACCTAGGAAGACTTGGGCTTATTGTATTAAAAATGATCTTAATTTACTAGAACTAAATGAAAATATGACACTAAATAGGACGCAATGGAGAAAAAGGATTCATGTAGCCGACCCCACGTAGTGGGATTAAGGCTTTGTTGTTGTTGTTGTTGTTGAAACTTTCCTGCTTCATTATACTTAGTGTAGTTAACTTAATAGTAAAATTAGAGGTTTAGTATTAGTTTGGTAGAATTCCCTAGATCTCATTAAAAATCAAACATATTTCCTAGCTTAGACTACTTAAATTCAGTTAGAACTTTTCTTAAGTATGTCCAATTTACGACCTTCCTTTTGGGTTCAATATTCGAGACTAAAGAAAGTCATATATTACTTGAATGATACGTGTATTTGCATTAATACCTAGTGTGAAGTGATTAAACGTGAAAAATTAAGTTATTAAATTTATAAAATATTTTAAAAATTATAATATTTAAATCTTAAATCACTAGGTGTACCGTAGAGATCGGTCACACCTCTAACCTCTCAATATCCATCATTCCAAGTTTCCAATAATCTGAGAAACCCTTAATCCCATCCCAATCTCACTCAAGATTCCTAAACACCGCCAAGAAAAGCCTACATCAAAGTCAAAGGGTATTTAAATGTCATGGTGAACTTATTTTTTGTATCATACTTGTGAACAGGGTGTGCCAATGACATATTTATCCAGGTGAAATGGCAACTATGAGATTGCATGATCAAAATACAGAACACTTTATTTCCCTTTTTATCCTCTTCATTATTCTCTATTTTTTTGTTTTTTTTTTTAAATAAAAAGATATACGGAGAGAGAGAAGTAAAAGGAGAGTGGAGAAGGGAAGAGAGATCTAGGGAGAAAGAGAGAGATAGTGAAGGAAAGAGAAAAAATATATATAGGGAGAGAGAAAATATATATAGGGAGAGAGAGAAAAAGAGAGAGAGGATGAGATGCTTGGTAGAAAGATTTGATATTTGAACAAGTTTTAAGCAGGATTTAGCTTGAATCATGCCAAAATGACAACTTAAAACACTATATAATCCTAAAACCATTTTTTTTCCATTTTTTAACTTAATCTCAAATTTACTAAATCCAAGACAAAGGTGAATTTAACTTGAATTCGCATCTCTCCCACACTCTTCTCTCCTTTGTACATTGTTGGCCCATGATGCAAGTCCCCAAGTGACTACTAGTTTCGCATACCGCTGGTCTATAGATGCTTTCGCAAGCAAGTCCCCGGTGACCTCCTCATCTCTTATCACATTTTGAACCCATTAATAACTTCTACTAGCAAGCTCCAACGTGCCTTCCTTGCTTCCTTATTCACAAATTTGATTAGGAGCCGCTGAGGAGGACGATGGGAGTGAGAAGGTGAGCACAAGCAAAAGGAAGGAAGAATAGGTGCATGATTTGAGATAATAGTTGGAGACACAGCAAGTACGAGAGATATGGGTGAGTTATGGACGTTGACATGCGAGGAAAAAAAATAGAAGTGGGAGTTATGATAAATAAAATTCTCCAATGGTCATCCTTAATTTCCATTCTATTGATACTGTTTAACTTATGCTATTATGGCTTTGAATAACATGATTAATGAGTAAACAAAATTTCTATCCAAAAGATTCAAAATAAGTGGGGAACAAATTGTTTAGTCAATGTAAAACAAGACAAGTTCGCAATCCCCAAATTATGTTTTCAACTCTATGATTCATAAAGTAAACTAAATTGAATCCAACAAGATAAGAACTAAATTAGCTTATAAGCTGATACATAGTCCATACCTTGTCACGGATATAAGTTCGTGCACAAAATGTCAACCTTTCATGAATATCAGCAAGTATTCTTTGAAGCATAGGACGTAGACCTGCAAGGGATTCGCCCCGTCTATTAAGTTGATCTCCTAGCACTTCAACTTTTAGGATGTCAACAAGCTCACAAAGAGAATCAAGATTTGCTTGATATATCACTTTGGGGCGAAGAGTATCATACAAATATGTGCACCTGTAGAATTTGGCAACATAAAAAAGGTAAAATTAGGGGAAGATACACAGTAAAAGCATTGACAGAAGTTGCTGAGGATTTGTTATGTTAAACTTATTTGACTGTTAGTTTTTCTTTCTTAATTACTTGAGGGGATAAAATATTAATCTTATGATGTTTCATCGCATAAATTAATGAAATTTCTTGACCGCAATGTTAAATATTTAGAATTATTCAAGTAATTATAAAACATACTATTCGCATATCAATAAGAGTCAAAACAAAGGCTAAAAGAATCACAATAATATTGAAGAATCAATTTAAAATTGTGCCAGAAATATCAATTGTGAAAGTGAGTTTCACTAAGGCAATTAGTGACAAAGATTAAAGAACAATTCACTGATTTTTATATATTTTATTAAGATTGAAAAATCAATATGAACTAATATCAAGAGGATTGATTTGGTGAGCATACAAAAGGCATGTGTTAAAAGGATGTTGAAATTAATGATGATATATATGATGAAATGGGGGTTAGTAGAACATTAATTGTGAAGTAATGAAAGAGTTTTTAATCACAATAAGATTAATAAGGGCCACATTACGCATTCATATAATTTGATTGTAGTAGTTATTATTAGATTTTGAAAATGAGATAGTTTAATATATGTTATGGTATTTGCATATAATTTTATAGATAAACATGTCTAATGTTAAAATTACCTTAGAAAATTTTATGATGCAAAAAAAGCTAGGATTAGTAGAGAACAAAAGCATAGTCCATTACATGATTTTTTTCGCTACATGAGAATAAACTCCACAATCTCTACAAAAGTACCTAGACATTATCTTTTTTTGCACCTTTGATCAAATATTAAAAAATGATGACATTAAATGAGGTCTTCGTTTGTAAATTTAAGTGATTAAAATGAAAATAGGTACCTAAAAAGTGCTATGTGATTGAATAAGAACACAAAAGTAAATATATAAGGCTACAACAAGACAAATTACGTTGTACAAATCCAATAAATGATGTTAAATGAGGTCTAAATTTGTAAACATTATAAGGCTGCAACAAGAACTATGAAGCATTATAATGCAGAAACTTGATAACTGATAGTGTTTGAAAGAAAAACCAATAAGACAGTGAGGTAAACTTATTATGAAAGGAATTAGAAGCTACAAGTATGGCTTGAAGATGTGCGATGGAAGCAAAGAAATTGAAGTTAACGTCAAATTTAGAACTCAAGAACATGAATAGAGCAGTTGATTGATGAAAGTTTGAAAGTGAGCATTTAACAAAAACATAAAATGTAAGTGTGAAGGCGAGCAAATCAATATTTGAAGTTGTGATGTTTACTTTAGATGTCCTATTTCATAGATTTTGTCACTAGTTTGTTTCTTAGCCTATGTTGATGAAAACGATAAAAAACGGAATGTATTCCCTTGTGTTTGAGCATCTTGACAGGTTTATTTTACTATTGCAACTGCAAGTCATTTCAATTCAGGTATTGTATTTGATCACTCTATGTTAAACTCTATTTCACATCAACCCGATTGACATGAAGAAAAACTAAAAATAACAATTGAAATATCACACAATCAATTCAAAATGTATCACCTGCAATGAAATTACTTGATCGTCGCCCGTTTTGCGAAACGAACCATGTTGAAATGTCTAGGGCTACATTTCACCCAAACCCCCACATGACGAAAGAATTTAGAATTTGAATACATGGATGCTTAAAATTTGTGAGTCAAAACACATTATAATGAAATTTAACAAGTTAATAATTAGAAAAAATTTATTGCTTATTATAATTGGTAATATTTAATAATATTTTTAATATATATTTAATTATATTTATTATATAAATATAATTTATTAAAATACTTGTATTTAAATCAAAGCAACCCAAGCAACCTCCCATTACGCAACCCCAGTTTCATAGTTGCAAGCCCACACCTCATGACTCCCGTCCTGTCCCCCTCACTTCATTAAATAAAAAAAATTAAATTAAAATTAAAAGCCAGTTCTCTCTCCCACAATACCTCCATCGCTCTCTCCGTGACATCAACCAGCTACTCATCCTAGCATGTTGGTCTCTCCTTGGCCCACATATGCTAGCATGCTTCCAAACCCACGCATGAACCCAAACTGATCTTTCTCCCTCCTTCGCTTCCATCTAAAACCCTCTATGACACAAAAGTGAGAAGTCACGAAACGAGCTTAATGGCAAGACATTGAAAGGATCATGATGTGTGAACAAAAGAAGAGTTCATGAGACATGCAAATCAAGTTAAATCCACTCAATGCTAAGTTTTAGTAAATTAAGGATTTAAAATACATTGTGTATAAATGTTATTTAATATTCTATAGTGTGTCAATTTTAATGTTTGGCAGGTCTCGAGTTGAGTCCTACATAAATCTAGCTACCAAATATTTCCACTTCCTTCCATTGGATGATAACCATCATTCAAAGACCTACAGGCCACCTAATCTCCATTATTTGCCACTCCCTCTCTCTCAATCTCTCCTCAACCCTCTCTGCCCCACTCTCCCTCCCCCCATTCAGTCTATCGCTAACACTAAAAAAAATGCCTCGCCCAACAAGAAAATAGCCTCAATATCTAATAGTACAATTTTATATCTAAGCAAAGAGAAAAAATGCTTAGTTAATCAAATTATTTAATTTTCTTTTAGTTAATTAGACAAATGAATAGATAAACAAAACAGTTCTATATTAAGACAATATACTGACACCTAAAGGTTGTCCCAATATTTTCATCTGCTCTTTTAACTTCCTCTTTTATTTTTTAAGATCAACTGAAGTTGTCATCATTTGCAAATCACCTCAAAAATTTAAGTGAATATTGTTTGTTATTCTAATTGATATTATTTTTTTTATCATACTAAAACACTCAGAGTTATTAAATATTTGGCAACACATCATTTTATATATTTCAAATTTTAAATATTGGTGGTGAGAATATGAATAGATTTGTGTGCTTTTATTTTTTATTATTAATTAAATAAATAAATGAGACCAAGGAATGTTGTTTCACGTCATATTTTGAGCCAATTCATCGATTAGAGCATACAAAATGTCTTCTTATCTCATTTTGTTTTATTATTATTATTATTATTATTATTATTATTATTATTATTATTATTACAATTACGATTATTATTATCATTATCATTATTATTATTATTATAAATATATATACTTGTGTATGTGTGTGTGCGCGCGCGCGCGTCAAGTTGATGGTTATCATTATTGTTGCAGCCTTCCTATTTCTTGTGAAGGTGTATTGAAATTGCCGCTGATTGCTCCACATTCTGCTATAAAATTTCTTATATACCGTTAAGTTGTGCTGGAATTGCAATTGATTGGTCAATGTGTCACTTTGTAACTTTATTCCATATGAGGCTATGTAGGTTTGTTATCTATGGTAAAATGTTGAAGTTGGAATCGACTACTCTGTTCCATCTCAGCATAACAATGTAGTGGGGCTCAGTTGATTTGTTCTTTTTTCGATATTGCACTGCAGTAAGGATCAATCCTTGTTGATTTCCATTGGTTTTGCCTTAGGTAAAATGTGCTGTGGGGGTAGTCTACCTTTTTCTTTAACTGTCTCTAATCTACTAGTGACTTTGCTACTGCTACTGTAGCTACATTGGTTCTCAGTTTCCTATTAAAAAATAACTACAACTACTATTAATGGTGAACTGAATATATGTTACAATCAAAAGTTTGATATTTTTAAATTGAAAACTTACAGTTTTAGACTAGTTTTTAAGGGATTCTGGGAAAGTAATATTTTTAACTTTTTAAAGTTATAAATTGTTTTATAAATTATATAATTTCACAAAAATATTACCTCAAATACTTATGTGTTGTTAGGCGTGTAGATGCTTCCAACGCTTTGCATGTTTCCATGTTAACTTTTAAAGGGTGTTTTTATTTAAAGCGGCCTAAAGCCTGAATCTTTAATTTTGTGACATCTATCATTCTTCTTTCATCTAGAAAATTTTATGATTGGTCTGTGTTCATGGTTAAGAGCATGTCAAGTAGCTTCCAGTTTGTGATGTGAATCATAATTTCACTGAAACAATGGATTCAGAAGGAATAGGAATAAAGATAACGTAGCCTGTTCTGCAACATTCTTGGTAAATTAGACTTTATATTCACATGTAGCTCTCCACAAAATGAATATGAAGAGAAGAAGATCGATAAAAATATAGCACGATGAAACAGCTATCTTTCTTTTCAATTCAAGAAAAAATGGAATCCTGGGATTGAAAAGAGTTGAACTACACTTTTCAAACAATTTGGTCTGCTCTAACAGGAAATTACTAGCTAGTTCAGTTTTATGACATTCTTAGTAAATTAAACTTGACATTCACATGTAGCGCTCCACAAAATGAATAAGAAGAGAAGAAGATCGATATAAATATATCAGAATGAAACAGCTATCTTTCTTTTCAATTCAAGAAAAATTGGAATCCTGGGATTGAAAAGTGTAGAACTACACTTTTCAAACATTTTGGTCTGCTCTAACAGGAAATTAGTAATCACCCAGCTCAACTTGAACATAGTTCAATGAGAGAAGTGACTCCACAAATTCTCATCAAATAGTAACAAATATAACTCTTCTATAACAATTTGACAGCTAAATGAATCAAATAATGCACCTCATTTCAGGCAAAACTTTATAATAAAAAAAAACTTGAGCAATGTCCTAATGGAAGCTCATTTAACAAATTTGAAGCAGTAAAGAAAGTCCTTTGTAACCAATAAAAAGAACAACTTAAACTCACAGCGGATCTATTAGTGGAGCCATATTGGAGACATCTGTTGAAGAGGAAGGAAAGAAATGGTCAAACAGTTGGTGTTCCAGCTGGCAAACCTGGGAATGAAATAGAACAAAGAATTTAAAATGAACAAATAGAAAAAGGGATTTAAAAAACTTCAATCTTAGATAAGATTAAAGCCGTATGATGGAAACTTGAAAGTCAAGAACTATGCAAATGCAACGTATGATGAGATTCAAAATGAAAATATAAGAAAAAACCTACAATTCATGTATTAACAATTCACAAAATCGGATAAAAAAATTTATCTCTTTCAGTGTAAGAACGAAAACATGTTATGCTCATACCAAAAGATAATTTAATAATCACTAAAACTAGAAATTCTATAAGAAAAATAACGGCAAATAATAAAACTCAGTAACTAATTAAAATCATCCTTCAAAAATCTAAATTGATCACATAAAACCAGCTAAAAATTATGAAGAAAAAGAATAAACACAGAAAAAATCCCGAAAGAAAGTACAACCACAAATCTCTACAAAATATTTGTCCTTCTGCACATCAACCCATGAATCATCATAAATATGTCCATCATCTCAAAGAACAATAAACCACTGGCACTCCTTGAAATAGTATATGTTGTATTAAAAATCAAAAGAATACAAAATAGATGTCATTCGGCATTTACAAGAGATCTATCAAAGCTAACAAAAGAAAAGATAGCATGAGATTCATCTATTTCTCTAATCAAAAAGCAACCCTTTGGTGTGCTATCTATATGCAACAATGTGCTGCCTTATTTTCTCCTCAATCTATATTTTGGAAAAGCAAAGTCAAAGCTTTGTTGTGGCCTTTTCTTCCAAGTCTTATCATGCACTGTGCCTTCGAGAGAGTTGGTAATAATGATGCTGTCCCTGTAATAATGCCATGAAATTTCATCATCCAAGGGTCCAAGGAGTCTCTGATGGAGGAAAGTGCCATCAGCTCAACCTGAAAACCGTCCCAGCACTCAATTTGTGCATCGAAAGCAGCAGTAATTTTGCCCTTCCACATTTACCTTAAGCCACCCAGGATGGGGATTACTAGAAAGAGTCACAAGTCAGACAAGACGGCTGGCTAGTGCTCCAGTACTCCTGAAGTGTGTAGTTGTATTAAAGTAGCTAATAAAAGAAATAGATTAATCTGGTAAGATGCTAAATGTGAACTTCAATGTGGGATAGAAAGAACTCATTTCTAAGGTTTATACAACTCCAAAATATGATACAACATTCAAAAGGTAACATAAAAAAAAATGAACTTAAAATTTTGATCCACAAATCATGAAAATAATTAAAATTGTTTTATTAAATTTGCATTTCTTTTTTATCAATTATGTCAATTTAATAATTAAATTATTTATACTAAAATTTATTTATTGTTACCTTACATCCCATTATAAAAATTAACATTAATCATTTTTTCCACTTAGCCTTGTATGCAATGGCTGATGTCGTAGGGAATGGCTATGTAGTAAAAGGAGTATTAAGTATAATGAAATAATTACTTAAATGAAAACCGCAGAACAAAAGCATCCCATTCCCTCTTACTCCCAATCCCACACCCTCTACGGTGTTGAATAGAGAGATGAAGGCGTGATTTCGGTAGCAGGGAAGTAGAGGCTGCTAGCTTGCTTTGGTAAGAAAATTCCATTCTTTAGCGATTTTTTGGCAAAACGGCTTTGAATTAAGATTGGTAGGCTTAAGGGCCTTCATGTGTAGTGATCATAGTAAGGATAAAGGTTGCTTTGAGATTATTTTGATTTAGATATTTGAGTTGGTTAGTTATTAGATTTTTATTAAGTAAAAATTCAACTTTTAGTGGTGACAAGTGCAAGGATAAAATTCTTAGTTTTGATCCATATATCATGTAAAATATCCAAGCTCCATATCAAGAAGCAAGTATGTTTGTCCTATGTCAAAAAAAGCTTATAAATATTTTAGATCTCGATGTGAGTTATGTGTTAAATAGCTCATAATGTTGTAAAGTATATTATTTTTCCCTATCATCTATGATAAAATGATTACACTCAATTAGGGGACATCTTGTAATCGTAAGTTATATATTGACACATAATGACGATTAGCATATTCATGATATATATATATATATATATATATATATATGTAGAATTCTAACAATCAATAATAGTGCTTACATATTAAAAGCAAAATTAAATAATGCTTTCTACTATATCTAAATGAATGCCTATCTATAGTGCATCTGATAAGCATAAAATTTGTGGACTCCTTTAGCTTGTAAATGCTTGGTGAAAGATCAACCTCATGCCACCTAGCTAATATGAATTAGCTAAGCATCCCCACTCCACCATCACCTCTCTTCTCTTATAAATAGGTTTCTATCATCCAAGTTCTCTATGAGAGGGAAGACTTATAAGGAATTTTTTTGCATTTCATTGATTCCCTTCTTTTTTGACCTTTCTCACAATTAATTTAGCGAGTCAAAGAGCTAGAGAAAGAGATGACAAGCGGTGGCTTGTCTTTGGACCATCCCTGGTCATTATTCTTTAATACATCAAACACTAGCATCCTAAATGAATGAAACATAGATAAAACACAAAAAAACAAAACTTATAGAAAATAAGCTGTTAGGCATGAGCCAGCTTGGTCTTGCCTCTGCCTCTAATTCTAGGAGCGGAGACAGCTAACAAATTGCTGAGTGTCGTTCCATTACCCGAAGTTACTAGAGTATCATCCATTAAGTTCCCAAGTTGGGGTGTGTCTCCATTCTTTTTTTTCTTTCTAGATGTGTATACCTGTCATTCCTCATCCGAGGACTGGCTCATCTGATCGGTGTGGTCAACAGATTGTTGGGCATGTAGGGGAGAATGAGCCCTCAGCTCCTGACTAGCAGTAACAACATTCTGATTCTGAAGAGGTGGTAAGCATGTCTCTTCAGCACCTGATGCATCCTAGGGATGTGGAGCTTCAATACTATCCTGATTATCGGACTCAAGTAAACCGTCTGCCAATATATCTGTCGGAAGAACAAAGATAGTATTGTCTTTGGTAGTGGAGGGAGAAGTAGCATCGTGTCAACCGGTGTTTCAATAGTCTGTGGAATGCACTCACGAGCGGAGGAGGGACATGTATGAAGTGGGGCAGATCCAGAAGCGTTTTTACTTGAAGGTTTTAAATTTGGATGCAACTGATAACATTGAGAAGGAGAATGTCCAAACATACGGCAGTGGGTACAATAAAGTGGTATATGTTCAAGTTTTGCTTACTGTCAAAATCTCTGATGTTGTGTGTCAATCCATATTTCTCCCAAAAAATGTAAAGTAATATCCCTTTCTATCAAAATTATGGCTTCTGAAGACCGATTCAGATTCATTGTAGGCGTGTCAGCTTTGAGGGGTTTACCGTATACCATCGCTAAAGCGAAGATAAGCTCTTGATCAAAAAGGTGAATCTTCAAACCCGGGAAGCGCAGCCAAACAAGAATGGTAGGAGGTTCAGTACAAGGGTGAAAATCCACCGTCCATTTTAAAACCTTCATCACCTGGTTTTCTATTCGAAGAACTCTTCTCGCAAATAAATGAGTGTAGTTTTCGTCATTTGATAATTGAATAAGAATGTGACGACCATCCAATTTACCGATCTTCCAACCCCTTTCAGCTTCATTTGCTCAAAGTTCTTTCGAATTAGCTCAAGTTTAGGGTTTCCATAAAGAAAATTACCTACTAAGAACAGTCGGCAGGGCGCAGCTAGGGTAAAGATATCTGTCTCAGTGAGAAAGATTACAGGTTTGTTGTTTTTACGGGAAGCTTTTTTGAGAAATCTGATTTCAATGCTATGAGCAAAATTGTCGTGGTATCGTTGCGAAAACATATTCAAAAGAGGGGAGGAGACGGAGTTATCACTGGTGAGGGCAGCGGCATAGGAACGTTCTGAAGCCATTTCTCGGCACGGACTCTTCTCCGCCACAATCGACGACGCCAACGCGAGATGTCGGACGACTTCTCTGCTAGGGTTTTGAACGGCGATCGCCATTGATTCCATCGCTCGAAGCTTCCGCTCCTTTCTCCTTCGTCGGCTCGCGCTCGTTGGAGTTTGTTTGTGTCTCGACGACGACGCGTTCGCGTCTGCTCGACGCGTTCGCTTCTGACAGTACTCTATCCGTTGGTCTTCTGACAGAGCCGCTCGACGCGTCGTCTGCTCGGCTCTGCCTCTGGCGCGTCTGCGACAAAGCCGCTCGTCATTCACTGTTCTTCACTGTAGCTCAACGCAGACAGCTCTCCTTGCTCTGATGGCACCTCCTTGTTTGGTTGAGCCGGACAAAGTCTCATTTGTCCACGTGGTGGGTAACCCTCAGGTGGAGTCCGCAGTGGGATTCCCCTCAAGTTATAAAAAACCTCGTGAGGGCACAGATGATTGTCCTTTTATTAAGAAGTGAAGTAGGAAAGGTAGAAAAGCAGCAATCTTTTCTCTGAATCAGAAACTTCTACCCTGACGGAAAAATTCAAGTTTGCTCTTATTGAAAAATTTCAGTGGGGACACCCTCCTATGGATGTTATCAGATTGAGTGTTGATGATCTCAAGCTAGTAGGCAAGTGGAAAGTGAGACTCATGAATGAGAGACATGTGTTGATCCAACTAAAAGTGGTTGAAGACTACACCAGAATTTTCTATAAGAAATATCTTAATATCGAAAACAAATCAATGAAGTTACTCAAGTGGTCTCCTAATTTCGACCCAAATCATGAAACTCATCCGTACCGGTATGATTTAGTACCTGGTCTCAAGCTGCATTTTTTTCACCATCAGGTTATCTACTCTATTAGGGTCATCATTGGAGATCCTTTGAAACTAGATTTGCCTACTTTCAACCTAACCAGACCCTCGGTGGCCAGAATACTTGCGGAAAGGACTTTACCTGATGTTACTGAAGTCTGGCTGGGCACAACCCATAATGGATATTGACAACAAATCGTCATGGAACACAAATCCCCATATTGTACCCACTGTAAGATGTTTGGTCATATCCTTGTTAAACGCCACAAATTTCATCCTAATTTGAAATCTAAGGTCCAAGTGAA